TCTCGCACGCATGCACACACGCACGCACACAACTGGGGGAAGGGCAAGATACCTTCGTTTCAGATTTGTAATGGCAAAATTCTGGCTAAGTTTATCAAGGCTGATCTTATATTACTTTTTGAATCCTTCTTAAGTGCTAAGTGTATTTTCTGGATAATCTGGCAATGGATTTCAGCAAAACTAAGTGGGGAGCAAGTCCTAGAAGCAGCATCTACAGGGAGGTCAGAGAAGTTTCAGTTAACAGGGAAAGGAATTGTTTCTTTTAGTGCATCGATGTTCTCATGTAATGCCTCGCATACTCCTGCCACATTTGTTAACTATGAGAGTGTCTACAGTGATTCCATAAATAACACAGATCCCAATACTTTTCCAAACTGAAATTATTATATAACCTTAAAATCAATAGACAAAAAAACAAATAAAAAACCTAAGGAAAAAAATCAATAGACAATCAAAATTGCCACTGCTCTAACCAGACTACTACATACTACCAACGAATCACAGTTCTATAGCTTGTCATTATTGACCAGATTCCACACAAAGAATGCCTGCATAGTTAAAAATCGAAGGGGAAATCTCTCTTAGGAAATAAATATAAACAATTCCTAAGGACTGGAAAGCACAAAACCCAGACAACAAAGGAAAAGAAAAACAGTGCTGACTACATTACTTAAACATTCAGATAAAAGTCACCCAAAACAAGGGTACAAGGGAGTCAGGGGTATTCACTACAGAATTTTCTTAATAACAAAAAAATACAAACAAGCATTCACCTTAAGGATCATTGAAGAAATTATAGAAATTTAAATTAACAGAGTTGATCTACAATGCAATGACATATAGTCTTTCCAAGACAGACTACATCAAAGGGCAAGTTCCAGAAAACATGGTCACACAGAACCCGTCTGCTAACCACCAAGAGAAACTGCTGCTAGGAAGGAATACGTAAGAAAAAGGTGTGGAAGATTATACACTAGCATGATAACAATAGTTCTGGAAGATGTGTTGTTCGGCGAAATCAGATAAGGTGATGATGACTTTTACCTTTTATTCTTCATGTTTGAGTATCAATTTTCTTAAAACCAAAAAATTCACAAAAATTAAAAAAAATAATACCAGAAGTCATACAGCATTTTTAGTATGAACCAAATTATATTTCAATCATGATCTTTTGAGATACCTTCTGACAAAAAATTTTCAAATTCCATTTAAATATGATTACTATTTTAATTTAAATTTTGATTACATTGTCTAGTCTGTATTTCCAAAGAGAAAGGATTGATTTTAAGAATGATCAAATAACTTGTTATTAAATTATACATATACTTCTGACCTGTGCTTTTTAACCACAACCTGATGGCATTGAAGGTAACAGAACGCAACAATAAAACCATTAACTATGCTACACTTCTACACTCTGGGTCTAAAAGAAAATGACTTTTTAGAGAAAAAATTCCCCATCTCAGTATTAGTCAAATGTGTACATGGTATAATCAAGAACAGAACTGAGTCACACTGAGTGCTACTTGTAACACTGCCATGCATAGTTTCACTCTGTCATTTGATTAAAAGCAATCTAAGGTACATGGGGAATCCTGAATCCCTGTTTTTCAGGATAAAGGGCAGCCCTCTTACTATATAACTCTATGTAAGAGTAGATATTATTTGAGCAATGGTACAAATAATTATTGTTATACAATTAACATTTTGCAGAGGTAGATTTGGAAATATCTGCCTGTAATCATTTACAGTGATTTGTTACTGGATAAATTGTGGTACATACATATAAGTGCAATATTATGCATCTCTATAAAGCAATAATGCAACTGCGAAACACAGGAATTTGGAAGACATTAATGCTCAGTACAGTTAGTCACTCTCAGAAAGACACATACTGCATGATGTCACAATTATGAGAGAAAAACTAAGAAAATTATTTTCCCACCAAAAGCAGTAGACTCAGAAGGCTTGGGGCAGAGGTGGGAGAGGGGTAAAAAAGATAGAGTCACATGGGGGGGATGGGAGGGAAGAAGGAAGTCTTGTGGACAGGTCCAAAATGATACTGTTGTTTTGTCTCAGTACCTTGAAGGTATTTGGAAAACCGTCTCTCAAGCAGACTAAGCCAACATTTAAAGCAGGTACATTAATTTTGGACTTGGAAGGTTTTTTTTAACTTATGTTACGTCTTCTGTATATTAGCCCACTGGAAGCCAGGCAGGGGTTCCCTGTTTGGCACAAAGATTAAGCCCCAGACTACTAGTTGAAAAGTTGATGGTTCAAACCCATGCCAATGTGACTGAGAGACTGGTTTGGCAATCTGCTCCCAGAGGGCCACACCTTTAAAACTCTCCTGGAGCAGTTCCAGGATGCACACATGGGCTTACCATGTGTTGGAAGTGACTTGATTGCAACTAGCAACAAGGAGTCTGGCCAGCAGTGCAGTACTCAGACCCAGAACGAGATTTTACAGGGGCTTCAGTAAGTTTGTGGAAATTTTCCATTATATTTTAATCCCATTTTTCCATAATCTTTTTGAAGTCCCCTGTACAAGACCAAGCCCAGGTACATATGAGTTCCATAAACACTGGACCTGAAACATTAGAAACACAATGGACCTTAGAAATCATGTGAATTTTGGCACTGCTGCAACAGCTTCATGGTTCTTGTTCTCAAAGCAACATGGAATCTGTAAACGTTAACAGGGGATTAATGCTTAGGACCAAGTAGCATGGCAGGGACCAGAACAAATCCAGGGTTACATATGGTAGCCAACTAAAAAGGAGGTGGGGAAAAGGGAAAAAAAGATAAAAAAGAAGTGGGTAGCAGGGGCACAGGGCACTAACCAACCCAAGGGGATGGTATTGTTTATATTTCCACAGGGAATGAGAGACCAGACTTCAACTGAGGGCTCCAAGATGTGAATGCAACATACTGGCGTGGAGTAGGGAACCAGTGGAGAGGTCTGAGGGGCCGGGCCCATTTCCAACTATGTGGGCACCTGTCCCTCCCCCAGAAGAATTTATTTTGGAGGATGACACTGAATCTGCAGTTCCGGGAGAGGGGACATATCTGATCAGAACACACAGGAGCAGATGAAGGGAGAGGAGGAGAAAGTGGAGCACATCTTGGCCCACCAGGCCTTGAGAGTGATGTTCCCACTCAGAGCAGCCAGTCCAGAGAGGAACACATGGCCGGCCCCACTATGAGACACGACGTCCCTCACTGACCCACAGCCCTACAGGGGACAACACTGGAGACACAGTGTGAGAACTGCACCCAAACTGATCCCACCACATCGGAGAAAAACACTAAGGGGGTGCAACAGAACAACAAGGGAAGGGAGCGGCGAGGTCCCTAAGTAATGCCAAAGGTGGACTTTGGGGCCAGGGCTTGGTGCCCCAACAGACTGGACTGGAAAACACTCCTAAAGGCCAACAAA